GCTCGGGCTAGGGTTCAATCCCCGTCCTCGCGCTCCATTTTCTTCTCTTTCGAAAAAAAGAAGCATGGTCCCTGCGAGCAACTGAGGCGGCGACGGGGACCTTATCCTTTCCTCTCCCTCTCTTCTCTCCTCCACCGGGCACCACACTCTCCTTTCCTCCTTATTAGGCACAGGCGGGCGCGTCAGCTCGGTCGAAGCCCCTGCCAGTGCCAAGCGGCACCGAGGCCATGCCGCCGCGGCGTGGTCGGGCCTTGACCAGTGGCGCGGGCCGCCCTAACGGGCACAAGCGGCCCGGCGCGGCATGGGGACCTGGTGCGGGTGGCATAGGTGGCCCAGACGGCGACTCGTGGCATGGGGGTCCAGCGTGGGTCGACCGGTGCGGTGGCACAAGCAGCCCTAGCCGTCTGTAAAAGAATGCTGAGACATTTCTCTGCAGGTGATAGAAGGAAAAAACTTGCTGTTAACACTGATGATGTTGTACCATTTGGAGCAGCTGCAGGTCAGTTCATGAATCCTTGATTTGTTCACTAAATAAGATTATAGTGTCTCTGTAAGTAAACAAATATTTAATATATAATTGGTTGTCATCAAATTCGTATTTTTATTATGCTTTCAAATTATAATACATGATGATTTTTAAAAACCATCAAAACATATACCGCATTTTGGTTGCTTAATATGTCATACCCTAAATATCACCATACGTTAGCATGGGCAATATACTATTAAGATAGAGCCTTCTCATATTTTGTCAAAACAAATTAAAAATGAAAAAACAAAACCTGTTTGTATTGATATATGCACGTACCATATTTTGAACATTCCTTGACGATTCTTTGGATAAGGGATTGAATTTTTAACTGGGTTGATCTTCACAAAGATTTGTGACTTAACTTTTTCAAATAAATGACAAAACCTTGGCTATGGATGTGACCATTAATGTTGGTACATTCTATTCACATTTTGATTAGGGTAACATGGATATTTTTTGTGGGGTTTATTTTTATTCATTATCGATTATCAGAATATATATTATGTTTTGGTTGGTTCATTTGTGTTTCTAGATGACATCGTAGCGATAGCACGAGCAACACACTATGTAGTTAGTTGATTGACCATTTCGTGAGGGAAGTAGCTTCCTAACAATTACTTCCTCCAATTGTTTTTACATGTCGTATTAAGGTTTGTTAAGTCAAACAATTTCATCTTTTATCATCAATTTCAAAAAAAAATATGTAATTTCACAACATGTAAATGAAGTATTTCTTATATTGAATCCAGAAACATAAATCTTATGTTATTAGTTATTAATCAGTACAACTTTTTTGAAATAATTAGAAATATTTGACTTAAGACAATCCTAATACGGCATATAAAAACAAATGGAGGGAGTACTATGTCCACCTATAGGCTGTAGCTAGTCTTTGTTGTAATATTAAGATTCTGGTGCATGTATGAATAATTTTATATAATTCGATCGACCCACTATCATACTCTTTCTGTATCGTCAATATACTGAAATAATATCAACAAGATGGCCTCACGTAGGGGCGGATATTGGCCTAGGGCCACCAGACCAGAGCCATGGACTAAAACACCTCTTATAGTACCTTTATTTAATATCTGTATGCCTGGCAACTGATTTTTGCCCATGTATTTACATTGTCTTTTAGCTATATTTATACTGTCTTATTACTATATTTACAATGATTTTTTCAGTGTAATTTATTGGACAGAGTGATTTAATTTGAGAATATTTCTATGGATTGTAGATCTCGGAGAAAATATATGCCAAATTGTTCTGAAAATTTGCGGTGGTACCTACCCTCCCAACCTTATCCCTTTCCTTCCTTTCCCTGAGCTGAGCTGCACTGGCCCAATGGGCTCCAGAGGAGCCTGGGGTCCCAGCTCAGCCTGTCGCCGGCGAAGCCGCTGCGGCTGCCCTTCGGCTGCCCGGGGGCGGCGGCAGTGAAGGGGGCAGCCTAGGGGCGGCGACAGCGGAGGGAGCAGGCTTAGGGGTGGCGGCGGCAGTTGGCCTGGGGGCGGCGCTCGCAACTCACACCCGCTCGCTCGCAAATAAATCGGTTGCTGGCTTCATCTGAAACAACCAAACGTGGGTTAGCAATCATTTTTATTTAAATTTTTGTTCCGATCTAAAGTGGCCTAGATATTGTGCTAAAATCTTTATACTCCCAACCGGCCTAGTCACACAACCACAAGCAACAACAAGCGTTCCTAAGAACCCTGAGAGCTCGTTTGGTTGGGGGAATTGGTGGGAGGGAATGAGAGTTTCAGAGAAGGAGTCTTAAACTCCCCTCGATCTCTTTCCATAGATGACCCAGGTAATTCGTCGGTGTGGCAGGGCGTTCAACCTACAAGGACGAAAATACCCTGCGCGGTTCCCACGTCTGTTGGAGTGGGCGCGAAGAGGAACGGCTGCGCGCCAAAACATTGGTAGCTCGCGCCAAAACACCCTCCCTCTCCTGCAACAACTCCTCAAAAAGCTCCGCAAAAGCAGTACTTCTCTCTCGTGCAGTTGCGCTCCTGCAGATTGTGGGGGAACATGCTCTTGCGGGTTGCAGTTTTGGTCTGGTTCTTTCCTCTGCTGCGGCTTATCTCCTATTGCTTATCTGCTTATATCCTCAGTAATACTTAGTCTGTGTTGAAACCTTTTAAATTCGTCATCTGAACATTGTGTTTTGTCACTTCATTTTCTGTAAATCACGTTTTCAGTAGCATTATCTAGTTATTCAGTTTGTTTTTGCAATTTTACTGCTGTTGTACTACGGCCACTTTGGCCAATTTCAGTATTTGTAGCCTCTGTCAACTTGCGCTAGACAATCAATCGCGCAAGCATCTGGCTTCTGACGATGCCTGCAAACGGCAGTCGAAACTGGAAAGGATAAACACATTAGCAGCCGTCATGAATCAGTGCAAGTTGCTCTTCCAAGGACATGGTTACTAGCGCCCAGGCCAAAAGGACAACACCTCTGTGGCTGTAAAAGATGCACCAAAAGACAGAGTCGTGATCCACTCACGCAAGCATTATGCTTGTTTCAGTTCTAAAGAACGCATAAACAGGGTAAGGGCAAATCAGTAATGATGTTGTCAATTCCCATGCCCAACCTCACGTACCAAACAGTGGACTACAATTCTATTTTTAACTCCCTCTATCAATTCTCATCACTTACCAAACAAAGGATTGAGACCAAAAATCAAACTCCCACACTAATTCTCTCCTCAAACTCCCATCTCCAATTTCCATGCCCCTTCCCATCACTTGCCAAACGCACCCCGAGTGGCCGACTCTGCGACTCTCGTCTCTCTCGCGCTGCAATCTCCTCCCCCGTTCCTTTCCTTGTCCGCCTGTCCCTTCCGTTGCCGCCGGTGGATCTCCGGACTTCGGGTCTCCACATCAAGGCAGCGGCCTCCGCCAACTGCCGCAAGACAGCCAGGCGTCAGCCGTCAGGGATCACGGGCAGTCCTGGTCCGCTTGGGGGGCTGGCCACTGGGCAAGTGGACTGCTAGCCGGCCTGGCCGGTGCTCGCAACCGCTGCGACGCTAACTGGCAAGCGGCGTGGGCAGGTGCACGGTGCAGGCACGATCGTCACCTACTTGCCTGTTGGCAGAAAGCCAGCAAGCAGAGTAGCAAACTACAGACACTTTGACGCCATGTTCGCTTAGCTTAAAAGCCGGATTTTTTCAGTCAACAAATAGTATTTTTCTCTCACAACAAATCAACCAACAGTACTTTTAGCCATGGCTTATCAGCCAAGCGAACAGGGCATTGGTCGATGTCGAGTTTTAGGGTCTTTTGATCTCCTTCTCTAAACTTTAGAGCTCTAAACTAACTCTAAACAGGTGGTCTATAGTTCCATCTAAACTTTAGCCCACCTTATATTAGAACAGTAGACCTTAAAACTAAGCTAAAATGCTTTAAAGTTTTTGAGAGCTTTAAGTTTAGAGGAGAGAATCCAAACAGACCTTTAATTATGTAATTTTTCATTCTCAGATCCCAGTCTCTTGTTTAATGTTGACATCCCCAATCCGAAAATCTATCAATGACCAATTAATGGATTAAGTTTATTTTATGGGAACTGTACTAGAAGAGAATCAATACATTAACGTTAACATCTTTTTTTCTCTTGCTCCAAAGCCAATTATGAAGCTGTTCGGCTGCACTAAAAAAAAGCTTATACATGTTTACATGAATTATGTTGTGCAGTTAAGCATGGAATCAAGATGTCATCTAAATTTATGCATTTATGAGTTAGTCTTGTAATTTATCAATAATAGACCTAGTATTGATAATATTTTGACCTGGTATGGATGATATACACACTTTAATAGTGGCCTTAGACTAGTCTCAGTGGAGATTTCATGGTCTAGTTTCCAACACATCAATATTTTTAAGACAGTGCAGAAGAGTTTCATCCTCATGAAACTCTCTCTACTCCCACTACTACATAAAAACTTAACCGAAGCGTTTGAAAAAAGGCCTCCGAGGCGGTTGGGCCAGTTGGCCGCCTCGGTTATTCGTGGCAGGGCAGCCGGCCCAGCAACTGCCTCGGTTAATGCTTAACCGAGGCAGGCAACGTCACAGAACCTCCTCGGTTAATGCCTATTAACCGAGGTGGTTGCCCTAACCCAACCGCCTCGGTTAATACATTAACTGAGGCGGTGACCTATAAACAACCGTCTCCGTAAATGCATTTTCGGAGGCAAGCAACTATAAGACCCGTCTCGATTAATCGTGGCCAGCCCACCAGACACACTTTTATAAGACCCAGGCGTGATGGGAGTGCACACTTCAAAAGGTACGGAGGAAAGATGCCATGCCCTCCATGGACGAGCTAGAGGTGATAGTAGCGGTGTTTGAGGAGAGGTCGACGAGGTGGAGACGAACCACAACTATCATGGGAGTTCACACACTAAACAAAATTTGATCTTTTGACATAAATAATTATTTTGTTACACCTAAATCTTTAGTCGAATAAAAATTAGTATATGCTTTTTATTAACCCGTTGCAATGCACAGACAATTTTGCTAGTAACGACCAAACCGAGAAGTCGATCTTGACAGGGAAGGACACCGACGAGTCGCCGTTCTGGACGAGCACGGTGCTGACGCCCGACGGCACGACTTTGTAGGCGGTCCGCTCGACGATCCCGAACGCCCGGCACACGTTCAGCGTGAACTTCTCGGTGACCGTGCTCCCCGCCGGCACGAACACCCGCCGGAACGCGGCCACCTGTTTGATGGGTGCGTCCGCGACCTCGGGCGGCGGGACGGTGTACACCAGCACGGCGTGGGAGCCGTCGCGGCTCCCGCCGTTGACCACGCTCACGTTGAAGCTCACGGTCTCCTCGCACGCATGCCCGTCCACGTTGATCGCCTGGCAGGACGGCAGCGCAGACGAGGCGAAGGAGGACAGCGCGCTGGGGCGGTAGCTGAGACCCTTGCAGTGGCCGCCGGCGACGGGCATCATCACGGTGGTGCCGTTGCAGCTGGTCTCGTAGAGGAACTTGGTGTAGCTCAGGCCGTAGCCAAACGGGTATAGCACCTCCGGCCCCGAGTAGAACTTGTACGTCCGCCCGGGGTACCCGTGCTTCGTCACCGGCCGAAGCTCCATGGACGTCATGGGGATCTGCTCGATGTACTTGTTCTTGTACCACGTCAGAGGCAGCCGTCCTCCTGCACGTTTCATGTACACAAAAACATGCAATGCACGGAGTAACCACCAAAAATGTTCAATAAACAAATAGAAAAAAATGAACGTGTGGATTTACTATTTACCAGGATTGTATCTTCCGAATATCACGTCGGCAATGGCGGTGCCGCCTTCGCCGCCGGGGTATCCGGCCCAGACGATGGCGCCGATCTTGGGGTGGTTGTGCGCGAAGGACACGTCGAGGCCGCCGCCCGACAAGAGCACCAGGATGATCGGGTTCGGCGAGGCCGCGGCGGCGCGGAGGACCTCCTCCGTCTGGTTCTTGGGCAGGAGAAGGTCCTCCCTGTCGTTGCCCTCCATCTCGATGTGCAGGTTGATGCCGCCGACGTAGATGGTCGTCTTGGCGTGGTGCGAGATCTTGACGTGCTTGCTGATGCCCTCGCGTGGCGTCACGTACCGGCACGGTGGCCCTGCAATGCATGCAGATGCAGTTCGTTGTATTAAGTGCTTTGCTACTAGTCGATGCATGGCATGGCTAATTGGCTATTGGCTACTCGATCTACTACTTGCCTGTGTAGCCTGCGTCCATGACTCTTTCCGGCGCCCTGACGTGCGGGCCGTGCATGGCGACGGCACGGATCTTGTCGGCGTCCAACACGGCAGCAGGTTGCCGTGGTTCTTGAGGAGCACGATGCCCTGCCTGGCGCCGTCGAGGGCGAGGGTCTTGTGCTCGGCGGTGCAGATGTCCGTCTCGTTGAGCGACGCGTACTGCGGGATGTTGTCGAAGTAGCCGACCCGCATGAGCGTCATGAACTGGTTCCTGAGCGCGTTGTCGATGTCGGACTCGCGGATCTTGCCCTGCGCAACGGCGGCCAGGCTGAAGTTGCTGAGGAAGTCACCCACCATCCTCCCGTCGTCCTTGCGCACCTTCCAGCTCTGGCCGCAGTCGAGGTCGAGGCCGGCCCTGATGGCGGCGGCGCTGGCCTCGGCGCCGGTGAGGTTGAGCCACCGGACGTCCTCGGTGATGACTTGGACGGCGTCGCAGTCGGAGACGATGTAGCCGTGGAGGCCCCAGTCGCCGCGGACGGTCTGCGACAGGAAGCGCGCGTCGGTGCAGGCGGGGACCCCGTTGACGAGGTTGAAGGAGCACATGACGCTGCTGGCGTCGCCCTCCCGGACGCACATCTCGAAGGGGCGGAGGAAGGTCTCGGCCATGTCGCGCTCCGTCACGCGGGCGTCGTAGTCGAAGCGCGTGTGGTTGAGCCAGTTGTCGAGGTCGTACGCCGCGTAGTGCTTGCAGCAGGTGGACGTCTTGATGGGGCGCGAGAACGGGTCGCCGCCGTCGCCGGCGTCGTGGCCCGGCACGTCCTGCATGCCGCGCACGAAGTTGACGGCGTACCGGCCCACCACGTAGGGGTCCTCGCCGGGGGTCTCCAGCGCACGCCCCCACCGCGGGTCGCGCACCACGTTGATGTTGGGGCTCCAGTACGTCAGCCCGCCCTTGCCGAGGTTGTACATGGCGCGGGCCTCCGTCGACACCGCCTGCATGCATGCCATGCGTTGCCATTGATGAGAACGAACAAGATGTTGACTAGGAATGAATCAGATAGATCTGAACAACCAGACAACTGATGCGTACCTGGCCGATGGCCTTCCAAAGGGTCTCGTTGAAAGAGGCGGCGCTGTTGATGACGTTGGCGAAGACGGTGGCGTTGTTGACGGCGACACGGCCGGAGTGGTTGGTGGCGCCGACGTCGTCGAAGAGCGTGGCGGGTCCCGTGCTGGCGACGCCGTGCAGCGCCTCGGCCCACCAGCGGTAGGGCGGCAGGCCGACGCGCGGCGCCCCCGCGGAGAGGTCCCCGAGGTTGCGCACCTTCTCCTCCACCGTCATCCAGCCGATGAGGTCGCGCACCCGCTCCGCGTACGGCAGCGACGCGTTGCAGTAGGGGAAGGACGCCATGTCCAGGCCCAGCTCCGCGAACCGCGCGGCGTCGCACACCTTGGTGTACACCTTGCCGCCGGTGAACGCCACCGTGGTGTTGGGCGACGTGACGCTGCTGGGGAGGAGGGTGGCGGCGGGGTGGTGGTGGTGGTGCGTCCGCGATGAGGCGGTGGACGCGACCGGGACGATGACGGTGGAGCCGCAGTAGAGCAGCGATGCAGCGAGGAAGAGGAGACGGGACGAGGACACCGCCGCCATGGTATGGTAGGTCGGGTGTAGTGCTACCTACCTAGCTCGGTGACCTGAGGCGATGAGCACTTGCGTGCGACTGGCCCTATATATAGGGAGGGTGAGCCGGGGGAGAGAGCGGGAGGTGGGAGAAGGCGATGACGCACAACAAAATTTCGAATTTCGAAATGCAGTCAGTTGGACGCTTGGAGCTGCCATGCGTGGAGAAGGCGCGCACGTGCGCGCGGACGGATAGGATCTGTCCACGGCGAGTTGGTTGCCTTCTCGTCCGGTCGTCCCCGCACCGCACGCACGCATGGCGACTTCCTCGCGCCGCTCCTCCGGAGATGGCGCCCGCCTTGTTGCTCACCGCAAGCGGGGGCAAATATATGAGACACCACGGTCCAATATCCAACGCACCCGCGTGCTCTGCGCCACCGTGACAACAGTTCGGACTTTATTTACCCGTGTCAACTCATCATAGCCTGTTTGGTTTGCAGAATGACCCTATCTGGAATCATCCGATCCAGTATCCGAACCTGATTGAGCCGTTTGATTTGCATCGCGGAGTAAGAACGTCCGTCATCACTCATCAATATTAATCAATATTAATGCGACTTATAATTTAGAACAAAGAGAGTATTATATATAGATTTCAAATTATAAATTGTTTTTGACTTTTCTAATTTTTAGATATATAGCCTTTTGTTTTAAAAAAAAAGATATGTATAGCTTTTGCTATGTATCTTGATATGCATTGTGTCTAAGAAATATAGTAGCTTTTATTATGTATCTAGAAAAACCGTCTTATAATTTACAACTGTGGAAGTGTATTTAAGCAACTGCTATTTGATAGACGCCTAAAATCCCCATTCTTTTACAGATTATATGATCTGTCTTCATTGTTATTTGTCATCCTCTCTTCTTCTGTTACTGCAACACACGCCCGCTCTTCCGCCTACCACCCTCCTCCGCCCATCCCGAGCGCTACTCCTACTGAGCTTGTTGTCGCCGCCTCCCACCGCACTACTAGCGTAGCTCGAGCTCCCCCACCTACCACCCTTCTATGGCCGGCTCCCGCAACACCGCCGCTGGGTTTGTTGTCACCCCCCAACCACACTAACTAGTTTTACTTGAGCTTCCATGGCCAAATTTGGCTGAATCGCCATCTTTTGTTGCCTGTGGCTAGGGCCCATCGCCTCATGCGCCACTTCCACTTGTTTTCCCAGCCTCCTTAATCTTTTCTAAGCTTAGAGCACATTGCTAGCAAAACCTAACCCAGGTCAGTGTGTGTAGAGCAAGTCACTTGAGATTTTTGTAAATCTATGCTTCTGTAGCTTAAGAGGTGTGTGAGTATTTACATGTCACTGTTAATCATATATTACTAAGGATTCAACAGTTCAAATGGCTTTGATGTTACCTCATCAATGAATTGGATTGTTCCAATAATGCAAGATTATAAAAATTAGTCTTCCACTTATCCATGTACTCAAGCATCTCCCTTATTAAGCTCATACTTTTTAGGGTCATTTTAGATGTAATCAATACTCCAAATCTGCGGATCAATGTTGGGACCAAACCTGGTATCTCTGTGAGAATCAGATGCGGCAGAGTGTAATCAAGATGGATGGGCTTCCCTATCATTGCCGATTCATAGACCCAGCAGTGATAGGATGAGGGTCACTGCCGGTTCAAGCACCTCTACCCGACAGTGACCTTTATTTCCTAGATTGAGGAGTACCTTTCTCTAGCGAACCTATACAAGCAAGGAAGCGGGTAAGGGTTGAATAAGTGTTCATGTGATCTAGTAGGGGAAAACCAAGGGTGAAACTCACCCATGTGGGCTTGAAGCTCGGCAATGGTGAAAGCAGCATGGTGGGGGCAAAGGAGAAGAGTGACAGCGATGACACTTGGAGATGGCTCGCGGATCCTTGCCGAGGTGTGCGATGGTGGTGCTCATGGGACAGAGAATGGCGGTGATGGCTTGCAGGTGTTGGCGACAGTGGTGGCGGCGGTTCTCGGAGGGAGCGCTAGGGTGTCTACACATGTAGGTGCTGGCGGAGGTGGAGCATGGAAAAATGAAATTTTGGAAGCAGCATCAGATCAAGAAAGATGAAATCCTGGAAGGAGCACTTGGGCTATACAGGCACAGAAAAGGCTTCACTATCGGGCGTCATTGACCCAATAGTGAATCATGGCCATAACTATCGGGTGTTACTAACTCGGTAATGAACATTGGCCTTGGCCAATCACTGTCGGTGTCCTTGATCCTGCAGTGACCTGGTGACCGGCCTCTAGAAAATGTGTTTTAATCGTAAATGACATGGCCTCTAGAAAATGTGTTTTAATCCTTATTTCTTGTAAAAATGTATTAAATGTTGAATGTTCTTGTTATATGCATGATGGATAGCTTTACTTTTAATCTATTTTATTTAATAATAAATAGATGCATCATGTTCTAATTGATTTATATATTTTCCTTGGTTGCATGTAATCTGTTATGTGACTATAAAAAATAGTAAACCACTTCCAAGAATTTTGAAACCTCATGTTTCCTTGACTTGGGGGGTAAATATAAGGTTGTGACAAAATTTGAGGTGCATATGAGTTCAAATTTGATCTGCGGTGTGCACACTTTAAAGTTTGAGTTGACTACATGATTGACATAGAATTATGTTTGATGTGTACCTATTTTTTGAATGATGTATAGGACCCTTTACTAAAACTATTTAAAAATGATGGCAAGCATATACACCCAAAAATATGCTTCCATGCAAATTTTTAGATTTTCCTGACTACTTTTAGGTATTATGAAAAAAAATTTGTGGTAATTTGGGGATGGTAGGTCAAATTATCACTGTAAAACAATTGAATCTTTCATCTATCTCCATAACAAGGGCTCGAGTGGACCATATGAGCCCAAATACAATTTTTATATCACTTTTAAAATTTTATTGGGATACATGTAGGTTAATATGGAATTTCTTTCGCTGGTAGAAATTCATTTAAAATGATAGTGAATCATTTCCAAAATTCCAAAAATATATGTCGTCTATTTGCATATGAAAAAATAGGATTAATTTGCATACGGATTAATTATACAACATTTGAACTATTAGAGGAGGGAAGAGAAAAAAAGAGGCCAGATTTTAATGTTTTGTATAGTGTATCTAGGACACTGCTGGGTCAATCAACAATCTGACAATGATATCTTGCTGCCATTGCCGGGTCAAGCCATAACCCATTGGCATATCACTGTTGGGTTATGATCTAACGCAGAAGTAATATTTTTCATATCATTCTTGGGTCATAGCTTAACCAGGCATCGAGAGAGGGCTTTACTATTATGTTAGTGGGTGTTTGGATTAGAGAGCTAATAATTAGCTCATGTTTTGGATAGTAATTAGAAAGTCTAAATGTGAGCTAATTGTGGGCTAATATATAAGAGCTAATAAGGTCTAATTGGTGGTTAGAATCCATTAGCTTTTATTAGCCCATAATTAGCTCATGTTTAATCTACTTTCACAAGATGGGCTAATTTTTAGCCCTGGTATCAAACAGGCCCTTAATAAGATCATAATTTTCCTTAAAAAAAGGATCCTAATCATTATCTCTATGAGCCGATAGTGAAGCTGGCTCAGTACTACCTGCTCCAGCATATCGGACTGTAATAAATTGGTAGGGATGGTGTGTTCGCAAGAGTGAACTCATACTTTGTAGCTCGCTCGAAAAGTTTAGGTTTGGCAACGTTCTAATGATATTATAAAAGTACAGGGGCATTCAAGGATGCTGTAGTCTCGTGCATCATGTATGCCAATATCCCTTCTCATACAGTAGTGGCATGCACGAGTCTATACAAAGGCTGCTGAGTGGGGGCAGGAAGCTGATGACGCGCAACAAATTTTCGAACACATCCCCTATAATTTAGGCGCGGAACAATTTTGTCCTTGTCTTCCCATAGAAAACATCATAATTTATTTATTATGATTTGTGCTAATAGATTAGAACCATCGGAAAGGGATATGATGGTTGCCGGTTGTCGTCCGAACAGATGCTATATTTCAATATTTTAGGCACTTGAAATATACCATATCCCATTTTCGAATTTGGAAACTCAGTTGGAGTTACGAATTGCGCGGAGAAGGTGCGAAGCGTCCTGGGATGGATTGCATGTGCGGGGCAAAAGGCTAGAGGGTAATACGGCGAGAGACAGCTAATGTAGATTTTGTAGCCCAGTTGGACAAGGTTTTCGGATGGACTTGTTATTATTGTTCTTCCAGCGTGAACGGTACAATGTACAAATCTTCCGAACACTGCGGTGCGCAGCAATCCGGCCTGACCTCGTGAGTCGTGATGGATCTTCTATTGAACTCCATGCAGAGTACTCTAGGGCATCCCTAATGCAGAAACCATCATAATTTGTTTTTATCCTCTTGTATCCTGCTGCCTTGATAACCTCGGGTATTGGATCCCGCTGCCTTCTGTTTTTTTTTGTCCTCTTGTAATAAAGTCGCAGCGTTAACAGGTCCGTCCTCTAGGGCACTTCTAATGTAGAAACCATCATAGTTTCTTTAGACATTAATTATACTATCACCTAAGTGTTTTGCTGATGTGGCAAGGTAGTTATTAAAAGAGAGAGAGCAAAAAATCATAGAAACTGGATCTAAGTTAGAAACAATGTGTACACAAGAACCAAGACTTGAATGGATGTGATTGGTAGAGAATGGAGAGAGAATACATGTGATTAGATAAAAAAATGTTCTGTAGAAACTATAATTTCTATATGTGGTATATATGAAAATTAATAGGTATAGAAATTACATATAGTTTCTAATATTGGGACTCTCCTTGCAAAGCTGATACCACTCGTGGACCAATGTAATCAGACATCGCATCAAAATATAGTCTAACTAAGGGCATGTTTGGGACCGCGTATTCCACGGTGACGGTGGAAAGAATCGAACAATCGCGCCAAACGTCCTGTGGCCGCGGTGATTCTTTCAACCGCAGTCAGCACGGGAGTCGCGGAA